AGTCAACGACCTCATCCCTGGCGAGAGTGTACACGGGTTCGCAAGGCCAAACAACACTCTTGATCCTGACGCGACCAAGGGCATATTGGTCATTAGCAGACATCACCATAGGGCCTGCACATCACTCACTTTTCTTTGTTAGCCTTTCTTTGAGTATGAAGCGATTGACGCCACGTCACGCTAGCTACCTTCTGATTACATAGGAGCGCGCCCTCTTTCTGACATAACTGACAAAGGTCAGTGTCAACAATCAATCGTTCAAACACCGCCCGCTCTACGTTGTGCGTCGCACACCCTTCTTTCGCTCCTCTCTCTCATAACCGTTCGCCCTTTGTCCTTACCCGTTGACCCCTGCATCCCACGTCTGGTGGTCCTGATCCCTTCGTCGCCATGAGCTGGCCTCTGGCGATCACCGCTGAACCTGTGCACGAAGGTGCTTATGCTGATCGCCCTGACCGTATGGACCACACGCGCAAAGTCTCTCCCGTCTGCTTGCACTGGGAACCCGCGTTGATGTCTACCACTCACCAAAAAAAAAGGAGCACACTACCCCTTTGATGACCAACTGTGCTCATCTCCATCGGTCGCACAACGCACGCGCACACAGGCCCGCCTCACTCAGTTGTAACTGCTTCTTGCCTTCTCACTGCTGACGCCAACTGGCCTATGGGACGTCCTCTACGGACTCGATCGACGGATGCTCTCTCCGCCACTGCTCCAGCCCCTGCCAGGACCGGGTCTGCGCATCACTGGCCTCGGACTCAACATCCGAGTCTCGGTCAAGCTCCTGTTATTCTCTCTCGGTCGTACTCATGGAAATCTCTCTTCGTGGTAAGTGAACGTAACCTTTTAAGGCCGCGGTCACTCCATCTCTCCTGTATCTCCGCTCAGCTCGATAGCGAGCCTCACTAGCCACACCCTGGACTTTTCCGTCGTCCCTCATCTCCTGTTCTTTCCCTCTGTAGACATTAATTTTTAGCTTAGCCACCCCGTCACTTTTTACTAAGCTCAAGCAAGCATCCACTGTAGCCCCTTCCTCACGCATAGGCTCCCAACTCCAATAGAATCTCATATGCCCTGGCCTATAGCCAAAAAGGCCATTGCTTCACGCCAAAGCCAGGTTTCGTTCGATACACTGCACGATACCACACCGCAAACCTCGAATAGCGCGCTCCTCTATGCGCCACTTTCCACCCGAGCCCAAGCAGACGGGATACCACCAAGCCGGTCAGCCGCGTGCAGTGTCTTGGCTCTCAGAAAGTGGGGAGTGCGTCTGGCCCTTCACCTCCGAAAAATCAATAGCCCACGACTCACCCCCCCCACCTTTTTCTCTTTATAGGATCGCCACTGACTGCGATCCCGTTCTGAATGAAGAGTTAAAAAAAAAACATTTGTCAAATTATTCACATTTTAAAGCTCCAAAAATAATAAAACAAAATAAAATTAAATGATTTAAGAAAGACGAGAGACCGAAAATCAACGGCCTAAGCGCGCGCCGAACTCACTACACTACTATCAGTCATTAATCCTCGTGATGCGGCCACAGTCCGGAAGTAGTGATCCCATAACAGGATACCGACATGCACAGCTTTCCCTTCTAAACACGCAATCCGTCTACTCCCATTGGGTACCCGTGTCCAGTGGCAAGGAGGGGGCTTATGGTTCTCAACGGGGGGTGATAAGCCTCCTACCAATGCAGCCACGGGTTGCCCCTCTTTTGGGGTCCCACCGCGCGGCGCTCAACCGGACAGATCATCCACAGGCCATATACGAATGGTCGGCCAGCTTAGGCCATAGGGCTGCAATCAAAATTCATAATCAAGCCGTTTGTGTTCCTTCTCGTGAAGTGCGTGAAGTGATGAAGAGCTGAAAAGGGAACCCACGCCCGAAGGACCAACAAACAAAACTAATAGTAGTAATAATAATAATAATTATAATAATAGTAGTAGTAGAATTTATAAAAGGAAAGGGTTTGTAACATCACAGCGGCTAAAACCGCTGGGTTACCTCGAACTAAGGTGAGGGTCCACATCGACGAACAGACCTGACGGATAATTTCCTTCTCACTTTTTCTTTTCTTTTCTTTTTCTTCTCCCGATCCTCTTCTATTTAGACAATGACAACTGAACCCTACGCACTTAACCCATAGCCTAGCCAAGAGGCGCCTGGCGCGCACAAATGACCGCACTGGTTCCTCAATCCTCGCGACCCTGGGCGAGCCCGACGGTGCCACTGCCACAGCCCTCCGCTGCACAGCAGAGCGCCGATCCCGCGTGGACCAAAGAAAAATCCAGTAGCGCACCCCCCCACCCTTTTCCCAGGGCAAGCTTCAGCTGGACCCGCCTGCAGCAGAGCACCCCCCTTAGTACGCCCGGCATACTGCAGAAATCAACAAGCAGTACCCCGCGAAAGCCCATATGACCTCTGGTTTCCCGAGCTGATAATAGGTAAGTAGTTGGTCCGGGCAGGTGTCGGGTACTTAGCGGAGGGCCAGGGCACTGCGCCCTCCGACAGCGTGAGCACTGATTTCCACACGCACCCACCAGCCTCCTCTCCCTCTCTCTCTCTCTCTCTCTGTGTGTGTGTGTGTGTGTGGGTGTGTGTGTATGCCGCGCGCCCACTGATTCCCATGCGTTGGCTTACTTCCACGTGTCAACTAACCTCCACCCACCAGCCTCCACGAGCCCACTCTCTCTCTCTCTCTCTCTCTCTCTCTCTCTCTCTCTCTCTCTCTCTCTCTCTCTCTCTCTCTCTCTCTCTCTCTCTCTCTCTCTCAACACAGCGCATAATTCCACGCGCCCCACCAACTTCTGCGTGTGCTCGAAACCGAAATACTACACGAAGTCGAGTTCGGCTCTACCAGAAGAAGAAGAAGAAGAAGAAGAGACTAAGAGGAAGCAGAGGAAGTAGCTTACCGGTAGAGGGGAAGCTCGACAGCGGGCCGGGGCGATGGCGACTCCACGAAGGCAGGAGCGAACGCAGGGGGGCGACAAAGTGTCAAAGTGATGGGAGGCTGGACGTGGGGGGAAGGGTAGGCCGATGTTCCGAATGTTAAAGAACTGGCAGCCTATCTGGGCCACCAATATCACAAGATCGATGGCCCAGATAGGATGCCGGTTTTTGAACAATCGGGCAGCCCTACCTGACCTGGTTCAATGTTATCTGAGGCTGGGAGGCCTTCATGATCCGCATGAAGGCCTCCCAGCCCCTAAAAAATTTGAACACCCCCCCCAATCGAAATGCGCAAATGGTCACCGGAGGGGAACCGGCGCAGTCTATCCGCCTGAAGCACCGGCCGGGTTCCACTGGGGGGAGGAGTCCCCGGTGGGACCGGGTATGCAGCCCTGGTTGGAGCACTCTTCTCACCCCCAACACCAAGGGCCACAAGGTCACTCTCCTAATTGGCACTCGGCGCCCAGACTGAATAAAAAAGCACCTATCCACCAAGACTCCTATCCACCAAGACTCCATCATGGCGCTCGTCGCCCAGACTAGAATCAGATACCACCTATCAACCTAGACTCCATGGCACTCCGCGCCCAGACTACATGTCTTCATAACGTACAGCAGCCGGACAACAAATGAGGACTCGACGTAAGCCACCAGTTCCCTGTCCTGCACTGTTCATTGCATTGCAGTGCACTCCGAATGGGCCTAGGCCATGCTGCAGAGGCCTTGTAAAGGCTTGGCAGCCTTCTCCCGTTCGGCCCACAAATAATGAAGTGGCAGCCTCACGGATTAACTCACAGCAGTTCCACTTCAGAAAAACGAAAAATGAAAACATCTCCACCATTGACCTGTTCTCTTCTTTTTTTTTTATTTATATAGCTACCTTTTTTTTTTTTTATATACTCTCCTGATATGGCAAACAGTTGTATTTTTCCTACCCTATTATCTTCTCTCAATGTGTCTTACATTAGCTAACCCATGTCTATGTCCTACCCTTTAAGACCAAGATTCACAAGCAGCAAACAGCCTTATACCTACTCAAACCTGAACAGCTGCATACCAATCTCTGCTCTGTGCAGGGAACAGCACCCAAGCTCCTAACACCTGGCAGGGGCGGGCTGGGAAGACCAATCACCACTTCCACAACCAGCCAGGAGGCCCAACCCAAATATTTCCGCTGGTGAAGCCGAAGCGTGACACAGGAGGCCGTGGGGAATCGAACCCACGACCTCCTGAATACCACTTACGTGCTCAAGCCAACTGAGCAAAAGAGAGAGAGAGAGAGAGAGAGAGAGAGAGAGAGAGAGAGAGAGAGA